AAATCATTTGAATGTTGGATTGCTTGTCTAAGCAACTGACAGTGATTTTTGAAATATTTAAGTTTAGTTAATACAGGTATCGCTATATTCAGATATTTATAATATGTGTACAATTCATTTAGATAACAAAAAGGGTCTTTTACATTGGCGCAGTGGAATTTTTAACTAAAATTTACAGAAATAAGCTAATTTAGAATCCAAAATGAAACACGGAACGCGAAATATATTCTCAATATTTAGCATTTATCATGCGACTCAGAAAATCAGAAAACCAATCTTATCCACTTATAAAATAGATTAAGAATGTTTTTGAAAAAGCACCCCCAGAGAAAACCCGAAATTCGAGCAAAGTATCATCATTCGCCTATTGTTTTTTCTAGTATTATGCCGTTCCATTCGAAAGTCCATTTGTTTGTCCATCGTCGTTGTTTTTTTTGTTGTTGTTGCTGTCGTTGTTTGTTTTGGGAGGACAGAGATTGTCGATGAATTGAGTCCAATCCGAGTCAGAATTGACACCAACTCTCTTCTCGCTCGAAGTATTGTTCAGTGCATGTCTTTGCATTCCCTCAATGAGCAGATTCATATCCTGAAAACAAAAAATTCTGGGTATTTTCCTTTTTGTCCGAGTCATTCAGTAAAAAATGAAAGAAAACCTTTAGAATTATCCTTTTTATATCTAATTTTCTTTAAAAGTTTTGTCTCATTTGTTTTTCTTGTGTTTAGATATAAGGAATTTTCAAAAAGCATTGTATAAACCAATTGTAAAAAGTTTGTTTCAAATAATGTGTTTATAAACTACTCGAAACTTGGTTCGGCTATTTTTGTTCCGGATTTGGAAAAACTTTGCAAGACTTTTTCAATAGAACTTCAAACTTTCTGGGAAACATTGTTTTTTTGAGATCAAGATCAACAGTTTCCCTGTGGTTTGACTGTGTGACTACCATAACTTTTTTTCGAGCAGTTTATACATTTCAATGAGATTTCAAAGTCTTGTATTTTTCTCGAGAACGGATCAAAAAGTTTTAAAAAAATCGCAAAATGATTGCAAACATTGCACGAAATATGCAAGAATTGGGAAAGACTAGCTTTTTTTCTTGCAAGATTCCTTGTGGAAAAACTTGCATGATTTTCTTTCCCAGTTCTTTGCGCTTGATAGAGCGTTTTCAAAATTTTTTTGTTTTCTATCCTTCTAACTTAAAGTTTTGGTTCACACATTTTTCGTTGGCTCATTTATTTGATGCTGATTCTACAACCTGAAGGAGAAGTACTCTTAATAATATGATAAAACTGGAGATGAGATTTCAATATAAACAATGAATTGTAATTAAAAACTTGTACTCAAATGATAGTGTTGGCTATCAACAAAATTTGAATTTACTCGATTTTCAAAATCGTAGCTAACATACCTATTTTGGGGATTGTGATTGAAAAAATCATCAAGACTCCTTGAGAAAAAACGATCTTTTTCTATGCTAACTTTTTCCATTATAATTCCACAGTCTAGTAGCCATTCAACATTTACAAAAAACCGCTCAAAACTCATTCTAAATCGAAATTTCGAGCATACTTTTCTTAAAAAACAGTCAAAACTCTCAATTTCTGCTAAAACTTAGGTTGAAAACCTCAACTTGGGATATTTAATAAAAGCATTCATTTGATGACTATACTTTTCCTGAAATGTGTCAATTCTATCTCTAGAACTATGTAAACAAGAACACTGTGAAACTTAGGGTTCTTCTATTTAACCAACGACTGAAAAAAATTTAGTTCAAAACTGTTTGATTGGACAAAATATTCTCTTGAAACATGGTTAGTTCATCGGCAGATGAATTTTTAAGATAGTTCAAGTACTCCTTGGCTGTGATAAAAATGAAAAAGAGAACTAAAACTAACCTTTTCTGCTGTAACTATGTTAGCATGTTTAGTGTGGCAATCAAGCAAAAACATTGCTTATGAAGATACATTGCTTATAAAAATGAGTAAGTTCAGGTTTCGAGAGTAGGATGTATGTAATGCAGTAAGTTTTGAAGTTTTTGGAAATAAATTTGCTAAAATCAGTTTGAATTTTACTAAAATCAATTATACTATTTTAAATGAATTGAATCCGTTATATTGAAATTTGACGGATTCTTTTTAAAAAAATGTAATCCGATCTAATGATAATATAATCGATTTCATGGTCTAAATTTGCAACAATAAAGTATTTAAAAACATCATTTTTGACAACTATTTTGACTATTTTTTCCATTATAATCGGTTTTTATCCATAAAACTAAATTGCGGGAGTGGAATGCACTACGAGTTTGCATCTTTGATATTTTCTTTGATGTTTTTTTTTAAAAAAAGATTAATTAACAGTTCAAATTGTTTGACTACTTAAAATTTTTTTGAATTTTTACATGAAGTTTGACTTTTAAAAAAGAAAATTATACAAAAAAACCTTCGAAGTCGTGTATATTTCTCAAGAATTTAATGAAAAATTTTGGAAACTTTGCGAGATGATTGCAAATTTTGCACAAATTATGCAAGAATTAAGCAAAGTTTATTTATTTTCTTGCAAGATTTCTTGCTGGAAAACCTTACATGATTTTCATTCCAAAAACTTCGTGCTTGACAGAGCGTTTTCAAACACTTTTTTTCTAACGATTGGAAAAATGGGGATGGGGATTTTATGTTCGGGTGTATTTATATTGTTTTTTTTGCTTATTTTTTTCCTTTTTTAATGCAAAATCAGGTACCACAAATAATCATCGGACTGGGTTATGTGATATATCGTTTTAAAGGCTTTTCAGTTTTAACTTGAATGACGTTTCAAAAACATAGAAAAATTACAAAAATTTATTAGTTTAAAAGTTTTTTGTTCAGACCACACAGAAAAAAAGGTCGTTTTTTGTATTTTTGAGGGCTATGGTCGGAAGATTCTGTGCTACTTGAGCAGTAACCAGTTATCCTAATTTAGTTTTCTAGCCTTCTCATTCAGAAATATTGATTCTCATAAATTATTCATTGTCCTATTATTTTGATGGTTTCTTACCATAGTCTGAGGGAGAGTTTATATTTGATAAAATCATAAATTTGGAGACAAGATTTCAAGTTTAACAATAACGTGTAAATAGGGAGGGAATTTTACACAACCGAAAATGATAGCTATCTACCCTTTCTGTTGTGCTCCGAATACTGCTTCTATTAAAAACTTACCTAACAATTGAACCTAGTCGACTTTGAAACTCGTACCTAGTTTACCCATTTTTGACATTGCTGGCAAAAAAAAATCATCAGGATTCCCGGACAAGAAAAACCGGATTTTTCTAGACTGGTTTTTTTTTCATTAAAACCCTCAGCCTAGTAGAAAAACAAAAAATGACCCCCTTCGTTTTCTATAACCATTATGAGTTATTGTGAGGCTATATTTTGCCGGGGAGTGTGTGGGGGGAGGGATTCTGAATGGGAAAGATCCCAAAAAACATTCATACCTGTTGTGTTTGGTTGAGTGCGTGTATGTAGTCAATAGTTGTCTTCATGACATCAACTGAACGAGTGTAAGGGTTGTACTTCACTTCAAAGCCACGCTGGATCGAGTTGGTAAAGTTCCTTAAAAACAAACATATAGGGTGAAATCACACTCTGAAACATATTCAGGTTTTTTAAACTAAAAAAGTACCCTTAAGTTACCCCTAAAGCTAGGGCACAAATTATTCATCTCACCCTCATTGTTGCAGCGCAAATATAAAACAATAGTACAAATGCATATAAACGTAAATGGGCGAGAGTATAAATGCATATAAAAGTAAATGCATACAGGGACAGTAGCCAAGCGTATACATGGTGCGTCCCGGCGGGTTTGGCGCCGGTTCGAATCCCGACTAGGTCATTTCCTTTCTAGAACTCGAATGTGCAACGAACTTGATGGGATGCTCCGTAACCAGGTTCGGTCCCCCCAAAACCCATTTTAACCGTCTTTTCGCTCTAATTTGGTTCAGCCTTGGTTAAGGCTGACCTTTAAAAAGAGCAATTTGTCTCAAGGACAAATACTGGCCATTTTTGCAGCTTGCTTTGACTTATGCAGTTTCTTGTGGCCGATGTTACCGATAACAATAAAAAAGTTTTGTTATGAAATCTCATTGTTACCGAGTTATTTTGCCGATAAAATGCTCGAATTAAATTGTTTGAAATTCGATATTTTTACAATCCGTGGAGATTGAGCGCACACTCATCTTAAGTCATCTCGACTACTTTCCCAGGACTTTTTAATATACAAGAATCTCGATTTGATTTTGTGAGCTTGACCAAATCACTTTAAAGACTCTGTTTTAACCAAACTTTGAGAGTTCCAGGCAGATTTTTGAAAACACAGGCCGAAAAAAGGCGTTTTTAGAACATACGGCTTAATGAATACTGAACGTTTTTCATCATTTTGACCCGATTTGAACCAAGATTCAAAATTTTTCAACTAAAATCATCACTAAATTGTCTTAGTTGCCGACAAAAGATTATTGAAGAATCAGCGTCAACTAAAAATTAAAAGTCCACTTTAGGTGAAATCGTCCGTTATGAACAAAAAAAAAATTTTTTTAAATAAGTTTTTCATTTTTTTTATTATACTCAATCAACTAGAACAGGTTTTGATCCATTGGAGCGAAAAAAGGCGGTTTTTTTAAAACCCAAACGTGTATTCAAGTTAAAATAAAAATCGAGAAATTGCATAAAGATAGTTCGTTGCTCAACCTTAATGTATTAGAAACATTTGAACGGTTGTGTTGGGAGAACTAAAGGGAGAACTAATTAACCAATATTTCACATGATACCAATTTAGTTCTGAGTTTTAGCCTGATCCAAAGTTTTGTAATTAAAATTCTTCTAAGTGTACTTTAAATAAATGTTTTTTATTTAATTATCAATATATTATCCAAAACCTTTTTTGTATTTAGGAAAAATTTGAAAAAAAGAATTTGATTTAGGCAAAGCAAGCTAAAACTTGAAGCGGAAGTTAAAGCTAAGAATGAATTGACATGAATTCAAAACTACTGAAACAGTTGAAGGGAAAATGAAAAACCCAAGAGGCCTGAAAACAGACAATTTGTGACTATTAATGACTCACAGAAATCTCTGCGAGATGTAGATGATAAGAATTAAGTTTATGACCAGTTTTTGATAAGTTTTGTGGAACTTATTATAATATAAAAAATCAATTACAAAATTTAAACCGATGATAAAGAAACGTTTTACCGTTATTGATGCTCTGATTTGACTGTCATACCCACCAGGAGCGGATCTAGGATTTTCACGAAGAGGGGGTGGATATTCAGAAAGTTTTCGAAAATTTTGAATTTTTTTAGGTCTGCTAAATTGATTTTTCGAGCTCTATCAGAGCACTGTTTTTCCCCTATTTTGGGCACTTTTTAAAAAAATGTTGACAAAAAAATCGCGTTTTTTGGCGCGCGCTCCCCCTCAAAAGTAGTATATAATGGCGCGGAAGGCGCCTTTAGAAAAATTTTAGGGTCGGTCGGCCAAAAATGGATTTCTTAAAAAGTACCAAAGGGGGGACACTTTGGATGAGCAGGGGGCCAATCGCTGAGAAAAAGACAATTGATTGATTGATTTTTTTGTGTTGAAATTCATTTTGGGGACGCTTAGAAACTAAGGAAAGTTTTAACGCGGAACGAATTTCCAGAAAGCGCTGAAAACCTTATATCAATCAGAAGAAGCTCCAGATTAGTAAGCCTCTTGCAGCGAGTTCCATGTTGATTTTTTCTTCTCAAAATTTCTCTGAGATCGATAAAAAACTATAAATTATTCATCAACCATACTAACGCACATTCAGATGGTTCACCCGCTCTGAAAATTTTTCGACCTTGGTTTTTTATTTTTGACTAACCGACTCTAAAATTGCTCTTAGGCTACTGCTCAAGTCAGAATTAATGGTAGATTTTGAGGGTTTTCCTTTACGCGCAAGTGAACGAATGCTCAAAAAAGATTCAGCCAACCATAGTTAATGGTTCAAAAATTCGCAAAAAACAATCAGTTAAATTATTGTTCCGACTTTCGTGCTCGGGGTTGGTTTTTTTTTTCTTCAGACAAATTTCGACTTTTTAACTAGCATTTTTGACGGAATTTTTTAATATCATTCGAAAAGTATTGTTGTCCTGAGCTCAAATTTGAAAGGATATTTCACCTATGATCATTTTTTGTAAAGTTACGGGGGTTTAAAGATTGCCATTTTGGCCAATTTGGGACAATTAACGCGCGATATATTTCGCGCTATTAACGCGTAAGCGGAGATTTAATCCGTCAAAGAAATCGTTCCAAATTTGTTAAAAGAAGCTTATTTGCCATAAATGGTTTGTTACAAGGAGCGAAACCTATCCTTTTGTACTTTATGTGGCGTGTGGGGGATGATTTCCATAAAAAATTTCAATTTTTAGAAGAAAAAAATTTTCGTTTTGTTTTATTTCATTGAATTTTTTAATGTTATTACTGCTCCATAAACCTTATAAGGCAGTCGGAACATTCAGGCCTTCGCTCTGATACGGGCAGTCTTGTTACAGTTTAAAGAGCTTTGATTGAATGAGGCTTTTTGTGGTTTCGTTCTTTTGTACCTACATGAATACAGCCCTCTAGAACATTTTCCATAGTTTTAGAAGAGCAGACAAAATATGCAATACTCGAATATGATTCGTTGAAAAAAACTTGGAGTCACGAGATATTTTTGATAATGTTTTTTAAAAACCCAAGATAGAGTCCAGAAGTTTTCAATTTTTTTTTTTTGGAAATTATAGTAGTTTTTTTGCAAAATCCCTCGCTATCTACTTGTTTGAACTTTTCTTCCTCACTTACTTAGCTGTTCACAGGTGCGTTTTGTTGATAACTTGCTCTGCGTGTGTTCATTTCTGCCGTCCATTTAAATGGTTCGTCTACCCGTAGTTTTTATTTCAACAGTTTTGAGAGCCGAGTTTCACCCGAATTGATCATAACATACTCTTTTGTATGTTTTTTAACACGAGCATTTTTTCGTTTTTTTTCTATCTTGGCTATCAAAATTTAGAAATTTCGCAAAGAAATTTTCGCAAACGGCATCGCATTAAATTTTTTCAGGTCTTCTGTATCTTTACGAAATCTAATTACACCAAAGTTTTCCTGATTTCTCATTCAAGGGCAGAGATGCAAAAACAACAAAAACAATTTTCTTCTACGAGTAGCAAAAAATCTATGGAAAGCTTTTCAGGCCTGTGTTAGCGTTTTCGGTTATTTTTATACTCCGGCATCCCGAATCCAATAAGCGAATTTGTTTCTTGCGTATCAAAGCTGTTTTTTGTTTTTTTTTGCGCCCAAAATTTTCCCGTGGTACACTTCTCACCACCAGCCAAAGAAGTCTAAAGTCTAACCTAAAGATACTTATCAACGCAGAGTCAAAATTGAAGTCGACACAAAATCGAACCAGCGCATTTCTGATTCAAAACAATTTCAAAGTTATGAACAGGCTATTCGTTATCTTGGTTAAAACCATTTTTTCAGACCCTATGGTTTTTTAAATAACAATTTTCTTACGATTTTCTTACTCTGACCAAAATGATAAATGAACTCTCACAACATACGATTAAAAATCTATTTAAAAAAAATTTCTGCGCCGCAGCCTAGTTTTCGAAAAACAGGATAAAAACAGGATTTTAGTTAGATTTGATCACACAATGCTTTTTGTTTTGGCGCGGGTTCTCTCCTTCTCGGACTGTCAGAAACGATTTTGGTTCGCCAAATAAAGATTGATGGCGAGTTTTTTGGTGGCGAGGCAGCCCCTTAGGAGGTCCACAATTATTCTAATTGCTTCGGACATGAAAAAAAACATATGGTTCCCCTCGATTTGATAATATGTAACGAAACGAATGGCTGAACGACCCAAACATTTTTCGAGAGGTGTAAGAACAAATGGCCGAGCGGCCTAAGCTAACGTACTTTATACAGACTCGACTGTTGGAGCGGGTTCAAATCCCCACATACCCTAAACTTTAAACATGTTAACGCGAGGGGCTGTAGCCCGACTTAACCTTTAATAGCCGTTTTTTCACTCTAATTCAGGACAAATACTGCCAATTTGGAAGCTTGCTTCGAGTTATTCAGAAGATTATGGCCAATGTTACGGATTATAAAGTATGTTTGAAGTAGTTACGGATGAAAATTGTTTAAATTATAGATTTCATTTTATTTTGCCGAAAATAAACTCATTAATTCAATTGTTTAAAATTCGACATTTCTACGATTTCAGGAGATGAGCTTGCACAAGAGGCAATTGCGCGCACAAGAGCTACGGAATGTACCTACCTAACAATCTGTGGATGGATGAAAGGAAATTGGGTAGGTTGTGTGTTTATGTTCCGATATAATTAAAAATCGCATAAATAAATCAAAATATCGCAAAAAAACACTGCCACATTTCAGCGCTCATTTTTCACTAAATTATGACTGGTATTTGTAAAAAAAAGTATATATTCTCTGTTGTTTTTGATACCGATTTTGCGGAATTACAGTGCTGATTTTTATTGCGTCATCCATTTAGTATGTGTCATCTAGTCATTTGGAGCGAAAATAAAAAATAACGT